AGGCCACCTGTGTGGTAATTTCCCACACTGTTGCTAGGCAATTGGTCTCAATCTTGACCTTGTCTAACTTGAGTGTGACCCTGACACAACACACCCCCTGGCAGTCTTGGTCTACAGTGAGGACTTCGCCCCGAAAGGACTCTAAGGACCCATCCAGCTGGACAGAGGGGACAGCAGCTGCACAGGCAGGACCAGGCCAGGGTCCAGGCGGAGCCTGGTCTTTTGGGGCTGAATGCATGACCAGCACAGGAGCGCTCAGCCAACTGGGCGACAAGGGGCCACCCCCGGCTGGGAAGATGTGAACTCCTCCTGTCTGCTGGTTTGGTGGTCCGTGTCACAGAGGGAAACAGGTGCCTGGATTCTCTGTGTGGCTGCAGAAGGAGGCGAGGCCTGGGTCTGGTCCCCCAGGGGATCACAGCAGACACAGGAGACAGTGAGCACTGATCTAGGCATCAGAATAGGGTTTTTCTAACATTCATGCCACCCTCCAGCCGTGTAGCCCTAAACATGTTGCTGCTCCTCTCTGAGCATGAGTCTTTTCGGTAAAATATGGAAGTTAGATCGGCTGCCTCTGGTTCCGCTCTCAGTCTAATGACTCGAAATTTAGTGTTTTGCCTTATTCTTGTCTCAGGGCAGCCTGTGTTGTGGGCAGTTCTGAGTTTTTTAACCAGAGAAACACTTTCTTCCGATTTTTATCTTACCTCAGCGATGGGGGATGACGGGAGGAAGGGAGAAAACACAGGAATACGTTTTATTACCCCTTTTGCTGTGCGCTTCGAAGGAAGGGACTGGACTTCCATTCACCCTGAAGGAAGGAGGTGCTGTCTGCCCCTGGAGGGGTGAGAGGAGCTTCCGTGGAGGGACCCAGGGTCCCAGGGTCCTGGGGTCGTGGCACTAACCGAGGGAGACCGAGAAGAGACCTAACTGCTGCTGGGTGTCTCTTTCTTTGCACAGTTCCACCTGATGCAGCCTCATGTCATCTCCTCAACAACCATAAGAGAAATATTTTACTTAAAATATATTTCTATTGATTTCTGAGAGGAAGGGAGAGGGAGAGAGAGATAGAAACATCAGTGATAAGAGAGAATCATTGGTCAGCTGCCTCCTGCACATCCCCCACTGGGGATTGAGCCCGCAACCCGGGCATGTGCCCTGACTGGGAATTGAACCGTGACCGCAAACTCCGGTGTTTACCTATGCCGCTATCTTGGTTTCTCCATAAGAGATTCTTATTAAAGAAATGATGGAGGCTGGGAGCAGCTAAGAAACTTGCCCACACTGGGCGCAGGAAGGAGGGGTATGCCGATTCCAAGGGGCCTGTCTGGCCCTCCATCGGTGTGAGGACACAGCCAGGACTCAGCAGCCTGCGCTTGGAGGAGACTCTTCAAGAACCCACGACGCTGGCACTGGGCCTTGGGCTTCCAGCCTCCCTCCAGACCCGGGAGAAATAAATTGGTTGTTTATTAAAAAACAAAAATTAGCCCTAGCTGGTTTGGCTCAGTGGATAGAGCATCGGCCTGTGGACTAAAGGGTCCTGGGTTCGATTCTAGTCAAGGCCACATGCCTGGGTTGTGGTCTTGACCCCCAGTAGAGGGCTTGAAGGAGGCAGCTGATCAATGATTCTCTCTCATCATTGATGTTTCTATCTCTCTCTCCCTCTCCCTTCCTCTCTGAAATAAATAAAAATATAATAAAAGCCTAATATGCAAATGTCCCCTCAGGTGGTCATTTGACCAGGAGTTCAACCGTTTGCTATGATGTGCACTGACCACCAGGGGGTGGCTTGGAACATGGCGGGTGTTGGCGATGCGCTATGACCTCTAACCGGCTACCTAGGGGCGGGGATGATGGGGCCGGAGGTGCAGTGAGAATGTGGGGTGTCGGCCGAGCTCGCTCTCACTCCCCCTACTACCCTCCCCGGGGTTCCAGGGCTCGTGCACCGGGGAAGACCCCACACTCAGGTGCCAGGCGCCCATGAGGAGCCCGCCACGCACCTGTGCAGCCTCTTCCAGGTGAGCTGGGCTGCCGGGACTGCAGGGGCTGGTCGGGCTCCCCATGGGTTCATGAAGGAGCTGGTCTGCGAGACTGGCTAGGAGAGAGCGGGCTGCCCGCCTGGCTTCTGTGCAGCGCCGCTGGGTGGCCCAGAGGCCCATGCTGTGCCCCGGCCTGCAGTGTCCAGCCACTGCATCTCCACGTGGGGGCTTGGGCACCATAACTCAGGCGGAGGGGGTTATGCGGGGTCCTAGGAGCCAGGTGCTGCCCAAGGCCCAGAGGTCAGCTGGGACCTACCCTTCCATGCCAGAGGCTCATGCTTAGATCGCTGGCCAGGCCTAAGGACCACACCCATACATGAATTTCATGCACTAGGCCTCTAGTAAAAATATCTTTTTAAAAGATTAGCCCCATGCCCTAGCTGGTTTGGCTCAGTGGATGGGACATCGGCCTGCAGATTGAAGGGTCCTGGGTTCGATTCTGGTCAGGGGCACATGCCCGGGTTGTGGGCTCACCCCCCAGTAGAGGGCTTGCAGGAGGCAGCTGATCAATGATTCTCTCTCATCCTTGATGTTTCTATCTCTCTCTCCCTCTCCCTTCCTCTCTGAAATCAACAAAAATATATTTATAAAAAATAAAAAACAAAAATTAGGCAGTCTTCCTCCCAAGCCTGACCTCTGAGAGGTTACTTTAGCAGGACTTGAGAGTGAGGTGGGGAGGAGCTGGGGAAGCCCAGCCTAACCTCCCTCAGCAAAGAGGCGGCAGGAAGAGCAACGCATCCAGTGTCCACCTGGGGCTCAGGTCCACCTGGGGCTCGGCAGCATTGGAACCTTCTGCTTTTCATCTTGGCTCTGGGCTCTCCCTCTGCCCCCTCCCACCCTCTGGCGTTGAAGGGCAGGCCTGTGCACCAGGGTCCTGGCAGGTAAGTGAAGGTGGAAACCTTTCCTCTCTAACAAATGTCCCCCATGAAACACGAGCCCCACACAACCCCTGCTCTTCGTCTGGCCACGCAGATTCAAGCGGGGACTGTCCTTCATGGTGTGGGACAGAGCAGGGAGCCGCTCTCGCCTCTCCCCACTCCTGGGCCTTCTGAGGAGAGAGCAGCTGCTTTCTCTGCCTCAGTGGTAACTCCCTGCTCCCCAGCCTCCGTTAGCAAGCAGGGTTCCTCAGGCCCAGCCTCAAGCAAAGTGTCCAGTCAAGACCCTGCAAGCCAGGGGGCCTCTTACTGTCCAGCCATGGAAAGAGCCAGCACACTGAACAGCCAAGTCAGTAAGTGCCCTCGTGGGACAGGAAGGAGTACATGGAGATGGTCTTGTTTTAATAGGAAAAGGAAATGAGACAGAAGTTGGCTCCTTTGACTGCAGGGAATGGAATCCTATGAACTCAAGGATTTTCGTTGGAACAAATATTTATTGAGTCTCCTATGTGTTAAACACTGTGGGAGGCGCGCTCATGACAGTCTCATTTCTTCTCCATAACAAGTTAGGAAAGAGGAAGGCAGGCTCACTGAAGTGACCTATTCTAAGCCACCAAGAGCCCCACCTGCCTGCCTCGGAGCCCAGAGCCCTCCTCCTGATGCCCTCACGGCACGAGTCTCCATCCGAGACAACTGGGCAGAGCTGGAAACTGGAGCTCAAAGGGCGTGAAAGCATGGCCATGGCTCTCCGGTGCCCGCTGAGAGGAGACAAAGCACAGCTCTCCCTCCTCCCCCTTCCTCACCCCGCTCCCCTCCCACTCGCTCACAGGACCTCCCCACCCAGGCCTGCTTGACATCCCTTACCCCAGGTGCAGGGCCTGCATTCACAGCTTCTGCATTTTCCCTTTTGGAGCATTTCTTTCTCACTCCGTTTGTTGTCCGTTTGTTGTCCGTCTTCCTTAACTCACCGTGAGCTCCTGGAGGGCAAGGACCACTTTGTTATGCTCACTATTGAGTTCCCAGGGCTTGGCGCATACCAGGTGCTTCACAAAGACTCACCATAGATTGAAAAGAAAATCAAAGGTGGATGGATGGATGGATAATGGCTTATCCTCCCCTCAAAGTCACCATGTCTCAGATTAAATTTATCTTTCCTTCTTGACAAGTTAACTTACTTGGCTGCCATTAGAAGAGAGTGAGGCCCTAGCCGATTTGGCTCACTGGATAGAGCGTCGACCTGCAGACTGAAGGGTTTCGGGTTCGATTTCAGTCAAGGGCGTGTACCTTGGTTGCAGGCTTGATCCCTGGCTGGAGTCAGGGCACATGAGGGAGACAACCAATAGATGTGTCTCTCTCATATCAACGTTTCTCTGTGTGTGTGTCTCCCCCTCCCTTCCACTCTCTCTAAAAATCAATGGAAAAATGTCCTCGGGTGAGAATTAACAACAACAATAAAAAGAGAGTGAGGTATAAGGGCTTTCCATCTTCTGACTTTAAATCCTGCCTCGGTCATTTACTAGCCCTGGGATGACAGCAGTTTGCTTCATCTCTCCACTCCTCAGTCTCCTCACTGTGATGTGGGATTGGAGGCTCGTGGACAGTCTGGTAACCCCAGGCCTGTCTGGGCCGATAAACAGCTGCTGCTCATCTTAGCTTATGTAACAACATGTTAGGTGGCTTATAGTTGTCTGTGGTGCCTCTTTTGCCATCTACTTCCTCTCCCACAATGACCATCTGATATTTAACCTGTCCAATCTTTCTCCCAAGTATCACCTGTATTTGCTTCACCAGCCTCATCTCATCTCCCCACTTAATGAAACAGATTCTAACCGGTTTCTCTGCTTCAGATTTTTCTTCCAATCTTCTATGCACAACACGCTCTGAGGAGGCTCTAGAATTCCTCCAGCGAAGAGGCTCAGGGTGGCATCTTGGGCTCCTCATGGAATGGGGAGGATGGGGACTAGTCTTGAAGCTGCGTATGCATGTCGCTAAATGCCAGCTGTCCACGTGAAAGCCGGGGGAAGGGAGCTTGTCGGATAGAAAGGGTATAAAGTTCTCCATCCTTGGCTAACCCCTGGGGTCACCGCTGGGCAAAAGCTGCCAATTTCTTAAAATATAGTTCCCATCAAGGTCCATTTTGCTAATTTTTTTTCAATGAGTTTGGAAAAGCTCCAGGAACCTTTGCCTGGCATGCAGGACTCTTCACAATTTCGCTTCAGGCTAACTGTTCCAGGCCATTTTGCTCCAAGTCCAGTTTTTCATTTCATGTATTTCACGCCCTCTGAATACACCAGCTCACATCTTGGTCCAGGAGTGGCTCCTCAGGTTCTTTTATCTGATGAAAGTCCTCCCTGAAGGCCTGGCTCAAAAGTTGTTCTCCCCGGCGATCCTCACCCACCCAGCCTGCGGGGCGCCGTCCCTTCCTGGAATACCCAGTGCTTCTTCTTGTCAGGATCGTTTATCCTGCAATTACATAACTTTCGAGTATTGTTGTTGAAAGTTTTCACGTGTTGATGTTGTCTCTCCCACTGGCCCGAGATGTCCATTTACGGTAAGGACGGCCACATCCCCTTTGAGTCCCCTGGCACGCAGCCCGAGCCTGTGGGACACAGGGGAGGTAGGCAGTGGGTTTGCTGAGTTACAGCGCCACCCCAGAGGCACTCTGCTCTTCTGACCCACAGATGCACAACCACAGACCACAGGCTTCGGAAGTAGGGAGTTATCTAGCTCTAGGGGCCAAGGATTCTCCCGAAGGAGTAGGTGTCATTTATCTACTGGCTGTAGGCTTTGGACCCAGGAAACCAAGTGTCTGTGACCCAGTCTCAGCCTGCGCACACCATTCCCTGTGCTGCTGACTAAGAACTTGGAGCTGACCACATGGTGGTAGACCCTCTGTCTTCAAGTGCACACGGCCCTGAGGCAATCACGGTGTTACCGGGTTCATGAGGAGGCCACCAGCAGTGGGGGTTAGAAGCGTGGTTTTAAAACTTTTGCAAAAATATATCTTTTAGAGATAAAGAAAATAAGGAATCTGGTAAAGAATATCCAATAATTCTTTTTTTTAAAGAAAGATATTTTAAAATTGATTTTTAGAGAGAGAAAAAGGGAGAGGGGGGGAGAGAGAGAAACACTGATGTGAGATAGTAACATCGATTGGCTGTCTCCTGCACAAACCCAACTGGGAATCAAGCCCACAGCTCCGGCATGTGCCCTGACCAGGAATCACACCCCCAGGCACATGGGATGACACCCAACCAACTGAGCCACACGGGCCAGGGCTCCAAGAATTCTTTGTACTATTTTTATAACTTTTCTGTAAATCTGAAAGTATATCAGAATATTAAATAAAAATTTAAAGCAGAAATAACAAAAGCCACCTTCTCTATATAGTGTCCCTCCCACCTTCCTCAGCCTTTAAGAAGAATTAACATTTTAACACATTCCTATACAAATTATATGTGTGAATATTTCTCCTATTAAACAGGAAGTGTAACTTGGAAAATGGAAGTACTCAAAGTCAAAGAGCACTTTGAAATATTTTATAACATAAAATAATATTTTAGGGTGCTAATATTGTAATGGTTTTTTTTTCTTTGAAATGAGGCTCACTTTATTCATTTAGAGAAAACATCTGCAAGTCAACAATAGCTTGTCAATCTCTCTTAAGTAAAAATGGTGTTTCAGTAAAAAAAAAAAGCAGTCCCACTTGTAACTCAATCAATGAATTAATTGCAGGAGTGCTTTTCCTCTTTTTTTGTGATTAATCACTATGCTTTAATTATGTTCAATTTGTAACAATGAAATTGGGGGTCACCACAACATGAGGAACTGTAGTAAAGGGTCGCAGCATTAGGAAGGTTGAGACCACTGGTCTAAGGTTTATTTCTACCTCAGTTTCTGGCTCCTACCCAGCCTGGCCCTGGTCCGGGCTTGGACAGGAGGCAACCAACTGTGTTTCTCTCACATCGATATTTCTGTCTTTCCCTCTCTCTCCCACTCTTTCTAAACATCAATGGAAAAATATCCTTGGGTGAGGATTAAAAAAACAAACAAAGGTGGGTAACCTAGTCAGAAGGTCAAATCTGCAAGCTGCTCCTCCCAGGGGGTCCGGAATGAATGTCCTTGAGCATCTCCAGGAAGGCCTGCGGGGATGGTGCCTCCACATTTTGGAAGGTGTTCTGGACTCTGCCGAACAGGACGAAGTATTTCAGCTCCAGCCAGATGAACCCGAAGTGGTTCTCATCGAACAGGATGAAGACTCCAGGGAAGCGCCTGGGGTAGGCTAAGACAGGTGAAGTAACAGTGTCCACGCCATACAAACACATCCTGTAGGTTTGGGGGTAGTTGTAGTCTCCTGTGTGCGTGCCCACAGGCAGAACAAACGGGACAGGCTGCTCCTCCAAAGCTGCAGCCCCGGACTCCCCTACGCTGGGCTGGGCAGGGCTCTGCCAGCCATGGCCCTCGCTCTCCTCAGTCCGGTCTTCTTGCTGCTGCTGCTGCTGGATCACCTGTTCGTCAATCTCTTGGATCACGCGGGAGAGCTTGTTCAAGTTGCAGAAGAACTTGCCATCTGGCAGCTGGATGCGGCGCATGAGGTGGATCTCTAACATCCCATTGGAATATCCCGTTATCTTCGTGACCCTGGCATACTTCCCATGGAAGCTGAGCATGGCAATCTTTAGGCTAAAGGGATTGTAGTTGCCTTGGAAGAGGCCTGGCCTGATGAGGTCGTCCGGGTGGCTCGACGGGAGGTAGAGGCGGCGGTAGGCCAGGCAGTCATACTGATATCTGTCCTCCCGCCCCAGCCTCAGCACCAGGGCCAGTTCTTCCCTAAGTCTTGCTGTTAAATCCTTTTGGTGGTCTGTCTTGTTGCACTGGAGGGTGAGCCTGTCCTTCTGAATCTGCACATGGCGGCTGTGGGGCCTGATATGGAGGCCTTCCAGGCACTCCACCGTGGCTGATTCCCTCTCCGTCAGGCAAATTCTGAACGAGGGCTTGAACTGCAGTGGGCCATCCACATGGGTGTTAAGGGAGGGCCCGTACGTCCAACCAGTAATGCATAAGCCGTCCACCACGACATTCAGTAGTGTTCTATAGTGCTCAGTATCTAGCTGCCACAATCCCAAAATGTGTCTGTATGGGTGGAGCAGCTTCGCATAGACTTCTCGATAAGACATACCACCGATCATCTCTGGTTTCTGCAAGTTTTCACGAACACCATACTCCTCCTGGCAGCGCCGTCTCCAGATGCTGTCGGTGTGCAAGATGTGGTGGAATTTGGTGCAGGCCTGTGCCAGGCTGGGCAGGTCGGTGCCCGGGAGCGAGGTGAAGATCTCCACCAGCATCTCCACAGGCAGGTCCTGCAGGGAGCAGTGTGGGGGCGGCATGGGGCTCATGATTCCTCCACTCCCCGCACAGCACTGTGCTGCCACGTCCTCCTCCACGTGCTTTTCTGCCGGGCCCTGTTGGGGTCCAACCCCAGCAGGTCCAGGGGTTCCCAAAGGTGTGGACGGAGTCAGTGAAGAAAGAATGACACGGAGACAGCATTCAGTTGATCAGCAGCCTAGCCAGGTTCTCTAGCCAGGATCTCCAGCCAGGTTCTGTGTTTTACTGTCTTGTTACATCTGTATTTATACCAGTTGATTTTAACCCTATCAATTTCTATTCCAAAGGTTAGGGTGTTTCTTATCTCCATTCCAGGGAGTAAAGATTATGTAGCTTAAGCGTGATTGTTCGTAGTTAAAGTGATTAACTACCCGCCTGGCACTTAGTTAAGGGGTTTTATTCCCTCCCTAACTTCAGGGAAAAATCCTCCTCTGGGGAAACAACCTTTCTTGGGGAGGTAGTCCTGTTTAAAACACATATCGTTAAGAGGGGGAGCAAACAAGTGCCATATACGCCAGGTCCCTTGAAACATAAGCTGTGCAGATGTTTCTTCCCTGCAGCGACTGTGTCAAGCAGCAAGGGTGGACCGGTTTCCGACAGGGCCTGGGGCCGGCTTGCCGTCAGCCGCTGCTGTCTCAGCTGGGCCCTGGCACTGCTACTGAAATCCCCGTGAAGAGCTCACGCCGCAGAGACCAGCGCACTCCTCCATGCCTCGACCTGTAACAGCCACCACAGCTTCGTAATGGGGGCTTTAATACTGTATGATTTGGGCAAGATATTTAACCTCTCTAGGTTACAGTTTCCTCATCTTTAAAAAATGAATACAAATGCCCATCCCTTAGCATTGTCATAGGTATTAAATAAAAAGTTAAATATTAAGCAATTAATCTAATTCCTGCTTCACAGTCGGTGCCATGACATACTGGTTCCAATGTTTAAGAAATGTTGAAACCAAGTGCTCTGCGCTCTGTGTCCTGGACACCTGAAGGCCGCCTGGAGCAGAGCAGCTGCCTAAGGAATAGTTATTGAGGAAGCCGGCAGGGAGGCCTGAATCAGTGTTGCAAACAGCCTCCTCGGTGACTTCGTGACTTCGAAAGAGCCCCTTGCTGTCTCCAGGCCTCTGCTTTCCTCATCTGTGAAATGGGTTGGTTTTCATGACAACCAGAGGACTAATTAGAGAGGACGATACAGATGCTGGGGTCTAAGACCCTTGGAGAAAGGACTGGGTCAAGGGCAGATGTGAGACCCAGCAGCCTGCTGAGGAGTTCATCTCTCACAGCAGCAGCTTCCCAGAGCTTGGGCGCTGGTGCGGTGGGGGGCCAGCGGTCTCTCAGGCCTGTGTGGGCGAAGGAGAAGCGCTGTTCGGGGACATCCAGAGGCTGGGGTCAGAGAGCCCGACAGTGTGCATGGCTCGAGGGGGAGCTGGGGGCAGCAGAGACCTGATCGAGGTCACTGCCCCACTGCTCGTCCATCCCCTCCCGCTGGTGCTCAAGGATGGACCCAGGACCTCCCACCCCCGCCCCTTCCTGGGCGACCCCTGAAGCCCGCAGCACGCCCTGGCGCGGGGCAGGCATGCCCTCTGCCTCCTGCTGTCTCTGGAGGCGGTGGTCGTGCTGGCCGGGCTCTGGCATGCGGTTTGCTCCAGGGCTTCCGAGAACAGAGCCGGGACCTGGTGAGCCAGCTCAGCGCCACGCGGATCTGCGTAGATCCTGACCGCAGACCCCAGGAGCCAACGCGAAGGGCAAGGCCTCCGGCGAAGGTGGCCGTGGGGGACAGTGAGGAGGGGACAGCCGCGCTGCTGGCCGCCCGCTGCCCCCGGGCTCAGGTCTTCGTGGTCGGTCTGTGGGTCTGCAGTTTCCTGCTGACCAAGCCAGGTGGGGCCGGGAGAGGGGAGAGAAGTGGGGGCGAGGGGGCGAGAGGGGAGGCGAGGAGGATTTTAGTAATAGAGTGGGGAGGGGAGGGAGGGGGCGGGGAGAGAAGCGATTTGGGAGAGAAGTGGAAGCGGAGTCTGAGAGCTAGAAAGAGATGCCAGGCGGACGGGGGCGGCCCAGTGAGAACACAGAGCCGCCTGCAGG